CCCCACCCCAAATACTTGTCAGAATTTGGCTCCCTCATAGTCACACAGTGTGATTCTGCTATTATCTGCTTTTTCTGGGTGATTTCACTACTTATCAACACTCTGACTAGACCTTTCTATGCCCCAGTTTCTTTGTTCACAAACTAGGCATAATAGTAGCAGCTGCCACTACTTTGACAGCCTAATTGTTACAGTCTCACAGTATTTGAGATCTCTTAAAGAAACTCCTTCCATGTTTTCTTTTCCTAAACTGTGCCAGAGGACAGGGAGGAAAGGAGCAAGGGAGAGCCTGTACCTAGGGCTTTGCCCCTCCTGGGATCTGGGCTCTGGTGAGGGGTCACACTCTCATCCATTCACAATCCCAGTGCATTGTCTTGGGCATGGCATGAAAACAGTAGGGCTCCCTGGCCAGACACCAAGTTCTTCCTTCAGTTTCACTAAACAGCTGCCACTCAGATTACATTTTATACACTGTTCTCTGCCTGTTACTGCGAGTGGACAAATTTGGTGACTGTCAGGGGAAGGCTCCTCTGAGATGATGACTTTGGTTCATGTTTCTAAATATCTTCACTATGGCTGCTCTTGGAGTGAGGAGAGGCCTCAGTTGAGTTGGAAAAGCTCTACCTTGCACTACTGTGTCTCTGAGTACAACTGTTGTTTGTGAAGTTGATCAGGGCAGGCCACTGGGATTTTGGAAGCAGAAGTAGACTTGTCAGTGAAGGCAGAATTCCAGAGAAAGCAAGAATGGCACCATCCTTTATTGCTGTAAATTTATCTCAAATTCTTGTCAGTCTTTCTGGGTTTTTTGGGGAGACAAATGCATCAGAATTAAATTAAAGCATTTAATTTACAGGAGGGATAGAAATAACACATTATTCAAACCGATATTGAAATCTCGTTTCTAGTCTGGTGTGGTGTGGTGGCTCATGCCTGTAATCCCAGCACTTTGGGAGACAGAGGCCAGAGGATTGCCTGAACCCATAAGTTTGAGACCAGCCTGGGCAACATGGCAAGACCTTATCTCTACAGTAAATCAAAACAATTAGCTAGGTGTGGTGGTGTGCACTTGCGATTCCAGCTATTTGGAAGGCTGAGGCAAAAGGATTGCCTGAGCCCAGCAGGTCAAGGCTGAGGTGGCTGTGAGCATGCCACTGCACTCCAGCCTGGGCAACAGAGTGAGACTCCGACTCAAAAAAAACCCCAAAATCCCATTTCTTCCAAGAACTCTTTCCCGATTCATTGGATAAGTGATTATAGCAAACATATCTTCCTATTAACTGCCAACAGCATTCCCAGCTCCCAAATTAATTCTCTTGTCTGTGCATAGAAGAAATAGCTCTTATCAGATATTACATTGTTTAATTGATCACTGTGTGCCTGTGACTTAATCTAAGTTTCCAAAGTGGCAAGAGTTAGATGTCAAGCCCAGTGTCTTGAGCAGACAGGGACTGCTGGATATTGGGTAGACAGGCTGTTGAATATCAGGGCGAGCTCCCTGAGAACCAACTGGAGCCTGGGAACTGGCTGCCATTATAGTGTTGGCTGTCCCAGGGCTCTGGGAGTCTGCCGCAGGCTGTCCTGGCATCCATGTGGTGTCTGTGTAACTCCCCCACATGCTGGGAAGATAGGGCCCCACATACCTTGGTGTCATGCCAGAATGTGGGCTGTAGCAGGACAGAGGTCATTAGGCAGAGCTGGCATCAGCTCCCTGGGGATGCTGGAGAGCCTCAGGAGCCCAGGCAGGTATCCAGAGGCATAGCAAGAGTCCAGCTGGGCCCAGGTGGGCAGGCAGGGCTTAACGGTCAGATGAGGTGGTGGGGAGAATCAGAGAAGGCAGAAAAGGTCTGAGGAGCCAGTTTTGACAGTCAAAGCAAATTGAAGAACCAGAGAATGGTAATGACAGCAGGGTACAATGGAAAAAGTGCTGGTCAAGGACAAAAGACCCCCAGTTCCAGATGTGATCTGGGAGCCTATTCTTTTCTTCACTTCTCTAGCTTCAGTTTCCTCATTTGTCAAATGGGAGAGCTGGTTCAGAGACTCTCTAAAGCCCCTCTCAACAATAAAATCTTAGGGGCTCGAGAGTTCAAGAATCATACTTTCAGCCCTGGAGGAGCCCTTAGAGCTCCAGAGTAACCAATTGTGTGTCACTATAAGGGAAGGACCCAGAAATTCTAATATTTTGTAGCATTTCAAAAATTAGAAAATTATATCTCTGTCTGTACACAAAAGGGCCACAATAGATGATCACTTAAACTGTAGTTTGATGGTGGAGCTTGGGAGGAAATATAACAAAAGGATGTTCTTTATGGTACAAAGTTTGAGGAACTGGTCAAACCCTTTGATTTTATATGTGAAGAAGATGAGGTCTGAAGAAGAGAAATCATTTGCCCAAGTACACCTGGCAAGTTAAGAGGCAGAACAAGAACCAGAAGACTCCGGTTTTCTAACAACTTGGTTCTGAGCTTTTACTGCCCTGACCCCCAACATCCCTTATAGAAAATAGGAGCTGAGCTTTTGAAAAATGTTTCAGCTTTTCTTTCTCTGATATATTTTATCTGACAACTTTCCCTTCTAGTAGCTCCAGATATTGGTGGCTTGGAGTATGAACTAATCTAGCAGCACTTGTGAGAAGAGTATTTCTCCTGCTGCTAGTGCACTGAGGATGGGTATGTGGGTATCGGTACAAATGAATTGAGCAGGAAAGTCTTGAGTTTCCTGTGGGAAGAACATGGTCTCTGAAGAGCCTGAAAAGCAGCTACTTGCAGGACTAGGGAGAATTATGGGTTGGGAATGCAGAAGCCTGGTTATGAATCTTGTTCAACTACTATGTGACCTTAGGCAAGTGACAGCTTTAGACCTCAGTTTCCTTATTTGTAAAATAAGAGGAATGAGCCGGGCTCAGTGGCTCAGCCTGTAATCCCGCACCTTTGGGAGGCTGAGGTGAGTGGATTGCCTGAGCCGCGGGTTCGAGACCCACCTGGGCAGCGAGACCATCTCTACAATAAATCAAAAAATCAGCCGGGCGTGGTAGCACATGCCAGTAATTCCGGCTACTCGGAAGGCTGAGGAGGAAGGATCGCCAGAGCCCAGCAGGTCGAGGCTGCGGTGGCTGGGAGCGGCTACTGCACTCCAGTCTGGGCGACCGAGGGAGACTCCAACTCAAAAAAAAAATAAAATAAAATAAGAGGAATGTCTAGCTATGTACCAAAAGTCTTTAAATACTGACATTGTAAGTATGCGACCCATGTGTGTTCCCCATGGGTCTCTTCCAGTTTCTCATAGGTGAAGGGTCCAGTAAATTCCATCCTTGGGTAGTAAGTTCCAGAAAGACTGGACCTGTCTATTCTGCATGCCATGACCCTCCAAATCTTCCTGAAGAACAAACAGCTTCATACAAGATGCCCCCTGCTCAAACTGTTGGTGGCTCCTTACTGCTTATAGGAAAAATTCATAATTCCTTTGCCTGGTATTTGAAATTCCAAGACTTGACTCATGTTACTCATCCAGCTTCATCTCTTGCCATAGTTCAGAGATGCAGGTGTTCAGAGTTAGAAATTTTAATTTTAATCCCAGTTTCACCTTTTTGCAGCTCTGTGACTTTAGGCAAGTTTTCTACCCTCTCTGGGCCCCATCTGTAAAATGAAGATGGCAATATACCTATTTCATCAATTTGATAGACGAATTGAATGAGATACCATTAAAACTGAGTAAGGTAATGGACAAATTTTAGTTCACTCTCTTTCCTTTCCCAGCTAAAGCATATGTTCCTTGACAATAGGAATTATACACTTCAGTTCTGTCCTCAAAGTGCTTAGCACAAAGCCATCCACAATGCAAATGCTCAATAAATATTTGTTTGATGGATTGACATTTCATCTTAGATAAGCTGAAACATTTGTTTTTCTTTTGCAGTTTGCCCAGCTGGTGGCCATCTACAAGACACTGGGAGGAGAAAAGTTCCCACTCATTGAACAGACATACTACCCCAACCACAAAGAGATGGTAGGTGGCTGAGTGGGGATGGTAGTCTCTCTGCTGTTTTCATTCGAGCTTAGCCACACAGTGACTGAGGGGCTCTGTTGAGGGCCTTGACATCTCAGCCCCAAAGACTTCACTGGGGTGGAGCTGTGGAGCTGCTTTGTGGGGTTGGAATCACTGGATTTTAGCCTCTTGTCAAATTCTGGAGACAGAATAGGAAAGAGCAGAAACTGGAACAGTTTAATCAAGCTGAGAGAGTAATAAACCTCTGGACCCACAATCAGAAGATCTCACTGCTTTGGCTTCCAGCTCTAGTTCTGCCACATGTCATTAGACAAGTTACGTTTCCTTACTATGTGCAGCTTCCAATTGGACAGTCAAGTGGGCATAATAATCCCTGACCAGGATATCTAATATGGCACATGTAAAATTCAAATGAGATTCTTTAAGTAATAACCTTCTGGAAAAGTGTGAAGCACTCCTCAGGTATAAGGTATTGCTCCTATTATTATTCACTAGACTCTTCTATTTTCTTGGCTCCCTTAAGATTGTGATAAAGGCAACACTATGCCTTCTCTGAGGCCATCCTAGGATATGAGATGGCACAGAGAAACAGCATGGTTGGTTGGTAAGGTGGCTGTTGTTAATGCTTTTCCTCCATGGCTAACTAGAGCTTAAACTCCTTTCTTCTTCCCTTCCCAACACCTTCTGCCTTAGACTGGTGTAACCAGTTGGTAATCCTGCTTAACCTACCAATGGAAACTCTCTGCTAAAGTGTTCCAAGGGGAACAGAGATTGTGTTTTTTCCCACTCCCACTCCCTTTGTGAAAAGGGATCTCTATTTGCACCTTTCTGCAAATCAAGAGCCTTCTTGTGTGTGGTCCTGCTTGCCAGCAGACCGCATGTAAAAAACAACCTTGGGTCTTGAAAAAAACTATCTCTATCATCTTTGCCAGAGCTTCCCCAGAGAGATGATCTGGAATTTTAAGCCCTTGTCCTTAATAAATCCTAGAGAAAAACATCAGGACTTTCCCTTTCAAGGAGAGCCAGGAAGCCCTGCAGAGGGTGAGGACCACAAAGGGGCTTGTGGTTGGAGATTTCAGGGAGCACAAGACACAGTGGTGAGGGGACTGAGCTGAAGGGTGCAGGGACTCTTTGGGGTTCAAAGTTCATTCGTAATCTAAAAGAGGCAGAAGCAAAACCTTGAAGGCATTAGGAATAGTTGGCCTGAAGAGACAGAACTTATTCTTAGACAATAAGTGTATTCTTGTTCAAAGAGGTGCGCTACTGGGCCAGACCCTCTGCCAGGAATGGTATAGAGGGGATTAGAGCATGGGGAGGGAGATTGGGCCATTCTAGCTCTCACATTGAGTGATTCCTGTCTCTCCCCTAAACAGATGAAAGTGTATCTAAGGATTAGGATGAGTTGAGACAGGAGGAGTAGAGGATACACAGCCATAGTATGTTGTTCTTTTCATTCCTGCCAATCAGCCTGTTAATGACACTGTCAGCCTACCTTCTGGTATTGTACATCACAAAGATACATCATCTCATATATGTAACATTCACAATTTCTCCCCTATCATATCAGTTAAGGCAAAGGAAAACACATTTTTCCTGGCTTTGGAAAACAAACTAAGCCAGAATAAATGCTTTCAGTAACAGGTACAAGGCTAGGCTAATGGGGTTTGGGAAGCAGGGGAGAAGGACTGAGGGAAGGACAGAAAAGTCAAGCTATCTTCCCTATCCTTTAACAGGTCTGACCTGGGATCTTGGCCACAAGCTGTAACATGTCCCATCTCTGCCCTGATGCTGATCAGACACTTGGCACTTCTCATTGGCTGGCAGCATTGAGGCAGGCAGTGATGGCCAGAGCTCCACAGGGGATGAAGATTAGCTTGAACTTCAGGACTCTTGAAGGGATGTGGTGGTCATTGGTCCCTACTAGGGCTGGATGATGTCAACAAACTCCTTCTTGAGGGGCGGGTAGCCTTGGTACCACCTGCAGGTGCCATCAACAAGCTTCATACAGACGTAATGCTGGGCCTGATACCCATAGAGCTTTTGTTCCAACAGCCAGTCTGTCCAGAGGCACTCATTGGGGGCCGAGATGATACAGGGCACCGTATAGCAGGTAGTGATCTAAAGTCATGGCCAAACAACATCAAAGTGAGCAAGTGTCCTTTTTCCATTGCTACCTTTCAGAGACTTACATATTCTTGCAGCCTATCTCAAATGCCACTCCCCCCCCCTTTGGAGTAAGAGTCTCACTCTGTCACCCAGACTGGAGTGCAGTAGCATGCTCATAGATACTGCAGCCTTGGCCTGCTAGGCTCAGGAGCTCCTTCTACCTTAGCCTTCCAAATAGCTGGAACCACAGACATGCACCACCACGCCCAACTAACTTTTCTGATTTATTGTAGAGACGAGATCTCACCAAGTTGCCAGGCTAGACTCAAACCCCTGGACTCAGGCAATCCTCTCGCCTCGGCCTCCCAAAGTGCTGAGATTACAGGTGTGAGCCACCACACTTGGCCTTAAATGGCCCCTTTCTTAAGAAGCTCTTCCTAGTCTCCAACCTTTCCCCCTGAATTATCCTTCCCCTAATCTCCCCACATGCAGTAATGCCTATCTAAGGGCATCTCTGTAGTCAGACAGTCCTGTGGGACCTTACTCTATCACTGACCTTGAACAAGTCACTTTACTTCCCAGAGCTTTAATTTCTTCACCTTAAAATGGAAATCTTAGCCAGGCTCGGTGGCTCAGCCTGTAATCCTGCACCTTTGGGAGGCTGAGGTGAGTGGATTGCCTGAGCCCGCGGGTTCGAGACCCGCCAGGGCAGCAAGACCTCATCTCTACAATAAAATAAAAAAATGAGCCGGGTGTGGTAGCAGCCGTCGCCTGTAGCTATTTGGAAGGCTGAGGCGGAAGGATCGCCGGAGCCCAGCAGGTCGAGGCTGCGGTGGCCAGGAGCGGCCACTGCACTGCAGTCTGGGTCACAGAGTGAGACTCCACCTCAAAATAAAATAAAATAATAAAATAAAATAAATTGACTATCACAGGGCTGGCAAATAATAGACTCTCTTAAAAGAGTGTCTGTATTACTTGTCACCTCAGTCTGCTTTACATGATGAATGCTTTCCCAACCAAAATGTAAGTACTTTGAGATCAGGCCCTGTGGACTGTGTTGCTTTCTCATCTTCAGTTTCATACAGTGCCTGATCCATGGCAGATCTCAAGTACAGTATAGCAAGTAAGTGAATAAATGCATGCATGAATGAAGAAATATATAAAGAGCGAGGCCAAAAGGTTCAAGACCCTCATTCCCCAGAGACCTTGGAAATGGACATTCCCTTACTTGGCAGCCACAGTTCAGATGGTAGTGATGATTCAGACTTTCTCTCTGCACCAAGGACAAGTCCTCCCAGGGCTCGATGTAGTTGCACAGATGGATGAAGACTTTTCCATCACTGAGGACCTGACCTTCAAGGGAGAGATGGAAGAGAGTCTAGTGTCAGGAAGCAACTCTTGAGTTCCAGAGGCCCAGGTCTCTGAAGAACCCAGAACTGCAGCATCTATAATGGCTCTTTGGTGGCAGTGATGACAAGGAGCTCAATGAAGGGACCAGATAAACTCCTTTAATCTTTTTTTTTGAGACAGTGTCTCACTTTATTGTCCAGGCTGGAGTACAGTGGCGTGATCCCAGCTAACTGCAGCCACAATCTTCTGGTTCAGGCAATCTTACCACCTCAGCCTCCTGAATAGCTGGGGAGTACAGGGGCATGCCACCCTGCCTGGCTAATTTTTGCATTTTTTGTAGAGATGAGGTCTTGCTATGTTGCCTAGGTTAGTCTCAAACTCTTGAGCTCAAACAGTTCTCCCACTTTGGCCTCCCAAAGTGCTGGGATTATAGGCATGAGCCGCTGTGCCTGGCCTTCCCTTTAATCTTTATTACAAAGAGATTATAGATTATAATCTCTTTAATATAAGGCAGAGTTGTAGGATTTGGTGAAGATCTTTTACTTTAGCATGGTACAAGAGAAGAATGTGGACTTTGAATTCAGACTCTGGATGGGACCCTCCTCCTTTTCTATCACTAGCTATATGATCTTTTATTTTTTTTTAGTTAGAGTCTCACTTTGTCGCCCAGGCTGGAGTACTGTGGCACTCTCACAGCCACCCCAGTGTCGACCTACTGGGATGTGGCGATCCTTCTGCTTCAGGCTTCAGGCATGCACTACCACACCCAGCTAATTTTTCTGATTTATTGTAGAGATGAGGTTTTGTCAAGTTGCCTGGGCTGGTTTTGAACCCACAGACTCAGGCAATTCTCTTACCTCTGCCTCCCAAAGTGCTGGGATTACAGGCTTGAGCCACTGAGCCTGGCCAACAACAACTTTATTAACCTCATTGCCTGAGCCCAGCAGGTCGAGGCTGCAATGGCCATGAGCAGCAGGCCACTGCACTCCAGCCTGGGTGACAGAGTAAGACTCTGATTCAAAAGAATAAAAATAAAGTTGTTGTCAGGATTAAATTAGAGAATATCCATAAAGTTCCCAGCACAGTTGTGAACCCACAGAAGATGTTCAGTAAATAGTAGGTCCCTTCCTCTTTCCAGTTCTTCCCAATATCTCCTTAGGTCAATCTCCTGCCCTATGGATATATATTTTGGTGAGTCTTTCCCCTTTCCCATAGAAAAGTTCTCCTTATTTACTTATGAAACTCCTTTTCACCTTTCTTTTCAGTACTGCCTCATCTTCTAAGCCATCCCTGACCATGCCATCCCTGACCATGCAAGCCCACACCTCTTTTAGAACGTCAGTCACTCGATCGTTTACTCATTGAGCAAATACTGTGATCTAGTACCAGGAATACAGAAATAAATGGCAAAATTTATGCCCCCAAGGAGCTTAAAGACGAATGACATAGATAATTTGGCAAAAATTACACTATTGTGTGATTATACATAAAGTGCAGTATAAGAACAAAGGAAGCCGGGCTCGGTGGCTCAGCCTGTAATCCCATGCCTTTGGGAGGCTGAGGTTAGTGGATTGCCTGAGCCCGCGGGTTCGAGAGCCGCCTGGGCAACTTGGCGAGACCTCATCTCTACCATAAATCAAAAATTAGCCGGGCGTG